ACGCCACCGTAATGGCAGAATCGGCGAGCTGTGCCGTTTTCTGAGCGAGGTCTCGCGAAAGAGGCACGGGGGAGGTCAAGGGAAGAGTGATGCTGACTGATATTTTTCCAGGTAGATTAGACCCGACCCTGACTTAGTCTCCTGCCCACTTACATGAAATATTAAGCAATAAATTTAAATGATTCCAATTTTGATAACCATTGAACAGAAGTTAGCTCTGAGATTTGAAAGAAAAAGAATTGAAACATGACTCCAGAATATACTTCTTTTACCTACTTACATGAAATATTAAGTAATAAATTTAAATGATTCCAATTTTGATAACCATTAAATGAAAGTTACCTGCCTGGTTTTCTTCTATTCAAGAGATTTGAAAGAAAAAGAATCAAAACATGAGTCCAGAATGCACTTCTTTGGCTGACATGCATGTGACATATCCACAGACAATGTTTCAACCATCTATATTCCCAGATGACATAAATTTGTTAAAAAGTAACAAAAATACCCATGAATCATGTAAACTTTAGACTGGTTCATTTGAGACCTTTCCTCAACCACTGAAAGTCAACGTGCCCTGGAGCTTGCATGGGAATTGATGGTGTCCTGCAGATTTGTGGTTAGGCCACAGCAAGTAAATTTTATGGATGACATCCTCCGCAGACTCCAAATCTAATGCGAGCGGGCTAAAAAAAACAAGGCAGGCCGAAAAAACAAGGTTCCTACATTTTAAAGTTTTGACTCAATCATTGTACAAATGGTTTTGATTCAGTGGGAACATCATATGTACATACCCAGCATCACATATCACTGCATCAAAGTAAGAAACAAAACATTAAATCAGAGCCTATTGTTGTCATCTCAAGCTCCCTTCATAGTTATCTGACATCCATGTTCCGGCAACAGACATCTTTGCCGATTTTCGGCATGTTGACCACTCTCAGAGAGCATCAAAATTTCTTTTTTTTTTCCAAAATCAGGCGAAAATTAATGCGCGCGCTGATGTCATCCATTGAAATTACTTGCCGTGACTTTATGTCTGTTTGCCACTTCTCGCGTGAGGATTCAGATATTAGAAATGACAGGAAAGGGGATGATTCAACGGGGCCATTTCGAGCGAGAAAATTGAGCTGGAAGTCCGCCAGTTTGTCACAGAAGTGCGGACGGCTTTTCGCAAGTTCCGAGCTGCACTATCAATCGGAATTGTCAACTTCAATCCTAAGGGAAAGTAAAAATTCTAAAGAAGCAGAATTTACACTAAGGCAGCATAGCATCAGCATGGTGAATCTAATTCAATAGGACAGGAGGCATAAAGGCCCAAATACGTCATGTACCGTAACAGGGAAATAGATTTAGAGTCAAAATAGGTCATGCGACGTACATGTAACTGCCTGGTTTTTGCTGAAGATTCAATTCTTCTCATTAAGACGTTTTCCTCATAAGAATTTTCAAGCAATATAAAAGACGGTTTATTCTTGATTATTAAAACTGCCTTTTGAATTGTATCTATTTCCTTTGGACAAAAATAAAAAGGAAACAACATAGCATCAATATTGTTGTTGGTCATTGAAAATTTACTGACTTGCACATCCCAAAATGATAGTCAAAGTTATCCACTACATAGTTATGTACATGTATGACACAAGGGAACAGCTATATCAATGTTTATCTCTTGCACATGAAAGGGTACTTTTGTATGTTTTATATAATGTATATAATATATAGTGTTTTAAAATGTAGCCTTCACAAAGATGTCCTTCTTTCTAATTGACATTAGGCCTAGGAAGAAAAAATGTTGTGTTTCCTGTTTCCCGACTAACCCTATAGCTAGAAAAACCTGCCGACCCTAGACTTTTTTTGGTGGGTGGACGCCTGCAAGGGACATAATTTTTCAAGCTGATGAAGTTTTTCTAGCTCCATGAATTTAAAGAGTCCATAACATATAAAAAATAATGCCTTTTGCAGGTCATCTTGGATACCACATCATATAATATGCATGTCAGTAAGTGGCTTTCATGGCCTTGTCTTTTATTCACACCTCTCACTCCTCTTAATATATAACATCATATAATGTTACACCATATAAAGGGGGGACATTTGGCCATAGGAAATCAGGTAATATATACTAGTCATTCAGGCTTTCACACCTAGATAGCTTTTATATCAAGATTTATGACAAGAAGTCCCTATTTGAGGAGAGAAAAGTAATATAACAGTCCCCTTAGGAGGGACCAAGACATTTTTATAATAAATAGATCGACAATTGCATTGGACCTTGGGAAAGTCAGATTGCAGGGTGGGGGTGCCCAATATATGCATCAATTTTACAACAGAGATCAATTTTGTGAAGCTGTTATGAGGCAGTTGGGCCCCATCAATTTAATTTGTTGGTCATTTTTTTTCTGATTCACAAAGAAAAAAAACATTTCAGGCTCTGAATCAAGTCTAAAATGCTCGTATTTTGTACCCAACTGTTGAAGGAAGTCCCTTCTCTTCAGAGTTCTTACAGTTTTTCCATGTATCATTGCAATCGTTTGAATAAGAGTTTGAAATTCATTGTTGAATTACAAACCAGCCTGGTATGTTGACTTCATCTCTCCTACAAAAATGTATCATAGCATTTTAGGGCTATCATAGGATGCCTTGGCCTGTTTTATTTGTTGTTTTTTTGCCCTGTTGCTTCATATTTTTTCTGAAGAAATCCGAGAACCAACAAATCAAATTGGTATGGCCCTGTACCTATGAGCTTGCACCCATGGATTTGAGTAATGAAAAGACCATGCATTTCTCATAAGAAGCAATATGTTCTGGGTTACTGCAGCTGGGCAGGGTATGTACATATGGTAGATGGAAATAAATGACTTGGGGCTAAACTATAAAGGGTACCACTACCAGGATAACAGGTTTGTGACTGTTTTAGTACCAGGAACAGACACAACAGTATTTGTGAGTGAGTAAAGAAGCTCTTTTTTTAAATAACCAAGTGTTTTATTCACAGCCGACGTTTTGGTGACCGTCTGTCACCTTCCTCAGGGCAATTCTGACTGGTTCACTGCAGCACAGGTGTCACTGTTATGTATGCATTCCCAAACATAAAGGAATGAGGAAGGTGACAGATGGTCACCGAAACATTGGCTGTGAATAAAACAAGTGGTTGTATATAAAAAAGAGCTTCATTACTCAGTGACTTACCAACCTGATGAAACTATTCACGGAGTATTTAGGAGTGTTCCAGTACCAGGAACAGATACAACAGTGTCTCTGTGACTGTTTTCAGTACCAGAGACAGACACAACAGTGTCTATGTGACTATTTCAGTACCAGGGAGAGACACAACAATGTCTATGTGACTATTTCAGTACCAAGGGCAGACACAACAGTTTCTATGTGACTGTTTCAGTACCAGGGAAAGACACAACAGTGTATGTGACTGTTTTCAGTACCAGGGACAGACACAGCAGTGCTATGTGACTGTTTTCAGTGCTAGGGACAGACACAACAGTGTCTCTGTGACTGTTTCAGTACCAGGGACAGACAAAACAGCGTACTATAGTATGTTTCAGTACCAGGGACAGACACAACAGTGTCTATGTGACTGTTTTCAGTACCAGGAACAGACACAAGTGTCTATGTGAATGTCTCAGTACCAGGAACAGACACAACAGTGTCTATGTGACTGTTTTCAGTACCAGGGACAGACACAGCAGTGTCTATGTAAATGTTTCAGTACCAAGGACAGACACAACAGTGTACTATAGTATGTGAATGTTTTCAGTACCAGGGACAGACACAACAGTGTCTATGTGACTGTTTCAGTACCAGGGACAGACACAACATTGTATATGTACAATGTGGCACAAGTATGAGAGAAATTATGATAAAATATGGCCATTTACTGTGGAACAACACTTGTATGCACATTTACTATAGGACAACACTTAAAAGCACTTTTACTATGGGATAACACTGGCACAACAGAAGCATATTATTGTATGGAAGTCCTACATACGTCTCTGTTAACATTGGCAAGAGCCTAGGACATTATCAATGGAAATCTGGAACTGAGCTTTATGTTTTTGACAGGTAATCTCCAAGCTAAGATAACCGTGACTAGAGATAACCGCAAACTCTCCGAGGTCATTACCAAAGTTTCCCCTGACCGTTATTGACTAATGAGTAGGCTGTTTTTCCACTGCTATCTTCAGCTGAGCAGTGGTAAGGGAGCCACTCAGGGCTAGGAAAAAAATTGTTGTGTTTCCTGTTACAGTCCTGAAAAAATTAGGGTTGGTAGGTAGGGATTGTCTTTTTCTTTTCTTTCTTCCTTTTTTTTATTGGACTTTGGCAATCTCTAGTGATCCAACTTGTACAATACAGCTTAACAAAGTAAAACTTGCTTGACGACACTTTCATTTTCAATGTCAATGTTGGAAAACCGATTGTATAACGTTTCATTACTCAGGTGTCAGATCATGGAGCTAAGAAAGGTCCATCAGCTAATGAACATTTATGTCTCTTGCAGGGGTCCACACAAAAAAGGCTAGGGTCGGCAGTTTTTTCTAGGGTCAGTCGGGAAACAGGAAACACATTTTTTTCATAGGCTTAATGAGTAGGCTGTTTCTCCACTGCTATCTTCAGCTGAGCAGCGATAGGGGAGCAACTCACAGATGTACAGATAGCTGATGCGTTTTAGATTAGGTCCCGGTGGCTCTAAGCAACTTGATAAATTATATGCACTGCACTGTTGGAATAAAGTTCAACATTTTACTATGATTACTACTAACACAGATGATCTTTCATGATAATCATTTATTAGCATATCTGTTTAAATGTCATATCTTTTTTTTCAAGTTGTGTCAAAGTTGTGTCTATCCTTGTCACAAAGTTATGTATGAACTGTGATAAAGTAGAATATTTGTGTTTGAAAGACATGCTTCATAGAAAACAGACATGTGCCTTAAATCTGTTTTTGCTGTAGTTAAATCTTGTTGTTTTTTGTGTTCCAGGACAAGTTACTACAGAAGTTGGAAGAGCATGAGCCTGACTTAGCTGGGAGTAAAGATGAAGAGGTACCTTTTAAAGCAGTAATCTAAAAAAAACAATTGTAGGTACATGTAGCTGTCAGAAGTTATTACTATTTCAAGGAGCTAGTATATGTACCTACAATTCAAGACTTAGTTATTTATTTGTAGGATGTGTAAAAGCAGAAAGCAATAGAAGAGCAGAAGAAACATATCATTCATGATGAAAGCCTCTTCTCCAATGTCTCTATATACCACTTTAAGTTCCATCACATAGTCTTCTCCTTTGCTATGCAGTTTATATTTTCCATAGAATGCTTTATACCAGGGCCCATGCTATTAGACTTTTGTATTATAAAGGTGTACCGTAAAGTATTCCATTTACCATACTCTGCAATCATTCTTGGTACTTCATAGTTAGTATCTAACATAGCTATAGTATAAACTCAAAATGAGTAACTACATGTAGGAGTCCCATTATGACATATGTTATTATGGCTGTTCATGATGTATGATAATTTTATACTTCACAAACTATCTGCACTTAAACCAAATTAACAGTGTCTTTTCCGAGGTAGCAAAGAATGGGATTTTAGTGTTTTGTGTGCAATTTTGTAAAAAAAAAAAGCTTCTAGACGCACCGTTTTAACTAATTTGAGTCAGAAATAGGACTGGAAAGTTTCAATTAGAGGCCCCAGGACAGTAATAACTTCATCAGAGACCAGCCAATTGCTACCTGGGGTTGGTTTATGTCTTAATTGCATTAAATCTTGATTGGTAAAGATAAAGATTCGACCACAGATTCCTGATCGTGCATAGGACCAACCTAAAGGCTTGATAATTTCATCAAAGAGAAAAGAATTCAATACACAATCCTTTTTCCTGTGCTCAGCTGTAATGCGGATAAAGTGGATCTCTTCACAGCTGCGTTCACTACTGTTCTTCAACGTCCATTTACTCATTTGCTGCAGTTTGCACTCGACTGTTGGATCAAAAAACTGCAAAACATCCGTAACGAAGGCCTTGGATAGATTGGCTCTAAACCCTTTTACTGCACTCGTTAAGGCAGAACAAATCAGAAGTAGGCTGGAGTTAGATCTATAATGAAATCTTATTGATCGCGGCAGCAGAGAGACTCCATCCTGATGCCTTAGGCCCAGGAAAAAAGTGTTGTGTTTCCTGTTTCCCGACCAACCCTAGAAAAAACTGCTGACCCTAGCCTTTTTTGTGTGGACCTCTGCAAGGGACGTAGATTTTTGGAACTGATTGAACTTTTGATCTGACACCTGAGTGATGAAACATTGTACAATCAGTTTTCCAACACTGACATGAACATTCATGTAAGTTTTACTTTGCTAAACTGTATTGTTGGATCACTAAGAGATCGCCAAATTAAAAAAAAAAAGAAATCCTTACCTACGGACCCTAATTTTTTCAAGGCTGAAACAGGAAACACAACTTTTATTTTCTTAGGCCTTGTCGAGCAGAAATGTGGAAGATTGAAAGAGGTAATTCTCGGATGGATCTCAGCATTGTGGCAGTGAAATAGGAGTCAGATTAGACAAGTCTAGCATAGATAAGAAAGATGTATTGGCCACTATCGCATCTATGTAAACCACCTCGCAAAGCACGGCAAGCTGTATATAACTGTCAGTGTGTTCTATTCAGGATACAGGAGTTTTCTTTTACACAACCAAGATAGTTTACATGTACCTTGCTGACGTTGCAGTGTCTATCAGACACCTTCCTCAGAGCTTCTGACTGGTAAACTATCTTGTTTGTGTAAAAGAAAACTCCTGTATCCTATACTTTACTAACCTGATGAAACTATTTTTGGATGTGTTGTGTTCAGTTACAAATATTTCTTTGCATACTGTCAGTGTAGTCCATAAGGTTTTATAACCTCCATGGTGAAATGTACTTCAAAAGCAGTGAGAATTGTTAGAGAACCAATTTGCATGTAAACTGTAAGACTTAATTACATGTACTAGACAAGTTGTATATTGTTCTATGTACAAGACTTAATGTATACACGTGTGAAAAAATTCACTTGAACTTAGCCTCAACCAGGCTTCAGGAAGTGGCTGGAAAGAGTAGAAATTGACCAAATAGAGAGATAACATGCCAGGGGACTGCTAGAGAGAATACAGTGAGTTTGACACTCCTGAATGGTACTTTCTACATGTAGCGGACCAACTCCCCCGGCATGTTATCTCTCAATTTGGCCAATTTCTACTCTTTCCAGTCGCCTGCCGAAGCCTGGTAGAGGCTAGCTATAACTATATTTAGCTAAAAAGGGTCAATGCAGGTCACTGCATCACTCTGAACTGAACAATCATTAAAAACATCATCATGGATACGGATTCCTGATTATGTGACCACACAAATCATCGACCGTTTTTGACTGTCTCACACTGGATGACCTAGCACGTTATGATTACTTTATTGGTCCATCAATAACTCTGACCCGATAAATTCCCTGCCTTTTTATATAATAATCAATCAAGATTTTGTTACTCAGTGGGGTATTTTACTTTTTTAGGTCAATTTGTCCCCAGCTATTTATTTATCTTACCTTTGCAGAAGAAAAACAAGGTCAATGACCTGAACCAGACGTCTGTCACCATGGTAACTAGTGTTGGGTTACATCATGTTGCAATTTTATAGCAGGAGGGATGCTTACAGTTTCTTCTTCTTGTTCTTCTTCTCCAAACAAGTAAGGTCAATGACCTGAACCGAACGTCTGTCACCATGGTAACTAGTGTTGGGTTACATCATGTTGCAATTTTATGGCAAATATAATGTAGCCTGGCAGATTAAAAGAAGGTTATTGATGTAAGAACAGATTCTGGTATAGATGTCCAGTCAACATCCTGCCAAGCTGGATAAGATTTGTTAATCTCCAAGCAGATCCCTTTCGGTGGCAAAAAGACAGTATGAAATTGGCCAGGCAGTATCCATTAGCCAGAGAAGGTCGGCAGCCACCAACGGGATCAGGACAAAAAAAACGGCAATATATAAAAAGCTAACGATCATTCCCCCAGAACCTCTGCTTGGAGAGTAAAGATTTGTATTGACATGGTTGAAAACTCTCATCACTTGACGTCTCCATTAGATGTGAGATTGCGTGGCCTATTCCATCAGCAAAGTCTATCGACTATGGGATAGGTGCAAATTACTGCCCACCTGAAATCAATGCCAGCCGAATTACACATGCTAGGTTCTCGGGCACGGTATAATTGGGACCTATTGTACGTAGTATTGGATGAAATCTTATAAAATCCTTACCCCACTTAAGTATAAGGATCGAGTATCCTAAGGTAAGAGTAAAACTTAACAGCTATGCAAGGAGCAAGGACATTATAGAGGAAACGATTTTCAACTTTCTGTGTATGATGTGGAATTTGGTGGCTGTGAATATCTGTGAGTGGTGAGTTAGATCATGAGTCATAGCACCTGTGGGTACATGACATTGTGTAGCAGTGGGGTTCAAGCAACACTAACTGACCCAGTCCATCTGTTGCACTACTCCCCCACATGTATACTAATTATGATTTTTCTCTACATGGACTCAGTATGACATATTTTGTACTGTTTTTCCTCCAGTGTGTGATCTGTATCAACACTGTTACACTACTCCCCCACATGTACATGTATGATTTTTTTACTACATGGACTCAGTATGACACATTTTGTGCTGTTTTTTTTCTCCAGTGTGTGATCTGTATCAAACCTGTTACACTACTTCCCCACATGTAAAAGATTTTTGTATACAAATACTCAGTATGACACATTTTGTGCTGTTTTCCCTCCAGTGTGTGATCTGCATCAACGCGAAGGCCCAGATGCAGACCTACCCGTGCGGACACAAGGTGGTCTGCAGGAAGTGTTTCGTGAAGACGATCCAGATGGCCGTGTCTCAGAGATGTTTGCCGCTGAGATGTGTCATCTGCAGGACCAGGATCCTCAAGCTCAAGCAGTCAACCATCATGTAGCAATCCCTCAGCTACAGTGTAGCAATCGTGTAGCAATTACTCTTGTTCTTCTGTCATCAACTGTAGTAGAATCATGTAGCAATCCCTTAGCGGTGGTGTAGCAATCATGTAGCAATTCCTTCTTGTTCTTCTGTCATCAACTGTAGTAGAATCATGTAGCAATCTCTATGTAGCTGTGGTGTAGCAATCATGTAGCAATTCCTCGTTCTTCTGTCATCAACTGTAGTAGAATCATGTAGTATTCCCTCTTCTTCTGTTGTCATCATCAACTTTTTTTATGTTTACCGATTCGGAAGGAAAACATATTGTTTTTGCTCTGTTTTCTCTTCTTCTTCTCCAAACAAATAAGCTAGGTCAATGACCTGAAATATTGACATCTGACATCACTCAGGTGTCATATCATGAAGCTAGAAAAGGTCGATCAGCTCTAAAAATTTATGTCCCTTGCAGGGGTCCACCCAAAAAAAAGGTTAGGGTCGGCAGGTTTTTCTAGGGTCGGTCGGGAAACAGGAAACACAACATTTTTTTCCCAAGGCCTTATCCTTGACCCAGTTTCAGTCATCATCAATCTTAATACCTTCCTGGAATTAGCTTCAACCTTTTCCAGGAATCCATTACATTCTCTTTATTTTGTAATCACCTAAAGGCTCCAGGTTAAAGTTTCCAGGTTAAGCGAGAAGACCCAATGTCCTACATCTTCCAATTATATTGATTTATGTTGTTAGAGTTCAGGACACTAAGTACCATCTAAAGTACCATTTTATTTGACTGTACAAAATGATGCTGTTGTATCAATGAATTACAGATAACTGCTCTATATTTACATGTATTTATATAAGGCATTTTCTGGGCATACTTATGGTACAGTATGTGTTAATTTGTAAATTATTGTAAATTTTTGTTATAAGGAGTTACTTTCCGCTTTCGGATTGTACTGCTGAGAGATGGCAATACATGTACTTGCAATCAGTAATGATGAATTGGTAAAGTTGAAGTAACTCAAAACTTCAAGTATGATTTTAAAAAGAATGCATAACTGATTAGCATAGTGAACTGTGTGCAAAATACATATTTGTCATTTAAGGCGATTACCATTGTATGCAGATATTCAGTATACAGGGTTTACAGTACTCTGTTGTTTACAAGTGTTTTTTTTCTTAAACCAAAGTAGTATATTTGTAGTATACAGAAATAATCATAGATGATTACTATCATCATCATTATTATAAGTGTGACACAGTGTCACACACTTTATCGATGTGCAATTTTCTTTATTATGTTCTTGCAGGGAATTTAGCCCTGAAATTTGTATTTGTTGCTGCTGATATTTTATTTTTGTGCTCCATATTCTGTGTTGTTGCTATAACACTGTGCAAAATAATATTTGCATATTTGACTTTCCAAACAGAATTTTTGATGGATCTAGTCAAGCAGGACTTGGCTAAGCATATCTATCGTATCATTCACTGATATCATTGTCAGCTTAAGGACTCATTGTAGTGAAGTAGAAAATGTTTAAATTAGAATAGAAATCTGTCAAGAACATGGTCTCACCAAGTGATATATTGCCAGACTTGGTTGGCATTTTAGCAATAGATTATGAATGATTTAATCTTATTTTTAATTATTATAAATTATATAAGGAGTTTACCAACAGGGTTTTAACTTGTTTTCTGGGAGTTTATAGTGTTTTATATAGTAATGTTGAAGGAAAACAATTATAGTGAAGTACTGGGTATCATTAGATTGAAGTATAATGTATAGAGCATCAAGTTAAAAAGGTATTTTGAAAGAGAACAATATAATGTTACATGTTGTAAGTTGACAGGATTTGTGAACTTGTGTAGTGGTTTGATAGAAAGGATAGTCTCATTTTTAGTATAGACTACATTGTAGTCCCATACCAAAGAATCATTGTAGATCAACCTTTAGCTCACAACTATGAAAACAAACTACATTGTATTGTGTATCAATATCAACATATACTTACCTGTAATACTTTATCTTAATGTGTATTTAACAAAAAAATGTAAGCAGTAATGGTACTTTCACAGTGCATTAGGCAGTTGCTCCAATATGGCGTGAAGTTAAATACATTATGTGTCTAAATCATGTTGCTATGAATGGTCATTAACATACAGTGTCCTTTATAAGATATTGGATGAATGTATATAATATGGTACCTTGTGTCTTTGTTGTTGATTTTCTCGTTCTCTAGTTTGTGCTCTGGAAAGCATATTGTGTGAAACTTATTTTTAAGTCAGTGATATTATTAAAGCAAAGACTTACACATTGTCTCAAGTTTTGTGCATTTGTGGCTGTTCTATAGCCTCTACCAGGCTTTAGAAGCAGCTGGAAAGAGTAGAAATCGGCCAAATAGAGAGATAACATGCCAGGGGAGTTGGTCCACAATCGAAAAGTTTGGCATGTTATCTCTCTATTTGGCCGATTTCTACTCTTTCCAGCCGCCTCCCTAAGCCTGGTAGAGGCTAGCTGTTCCATGTTAAACTTTCTGTGTGCCTGCAAAGTTACAAGTTACGAAGTATGGCTTACAAGTTAGAAATTTGAATTGCATGGTTCTTAAGCGGCCTCTAGCGGTTCATACTGCGGGACCATCTTAAATTTCGCGCCATTTGGGTCAAAGTTCACACCGCGGTGACGTAGCGGCCACACCTCCATACGCATGCGGACTAAACTCGAACGCGACTCAAGTCGGATGTTGACGTTGCGTTGTGTATATCGCATTTCAGCGCCAAATTTCTCTGGATTTTGACGAAATTCGCCGTTTTCTTGATCGTATTTCTATTCTCAGCAAGTCAGAGGACATAAGAGCTAATTTCTGGCCAAGTCTGAGTTGTTTTCAAAGTGAATCGAACGGTCTTGTTGTAATATAGCGGTCTTTGGGTCAGCTGAACTACTGAGCGAACAAAAACATTTTCACGCGATCGTGATCTCCTTGATATCTCCAAGTCCAAGTCCACCGATCGTCGCACTTTTTTCATCATTTCAATCCTGAATCTTTTCCTGACACGACAGAGCAGCCACAGGGCGACATGAAGATAGATATTCACAACCACATCCTGCCAGAAAGGTGGCCAGATTTGAAAGAGGTGAGCGCTTGTATGTTTTTGACATTCATGAGAAAAGGATTCTGTAGAAAATGGGTCCCAGATCAGCTTCTGACCCAACCCCCCTGTCCAGTCCAGATTTTTTAGCCACCCCCGGCCCTGTCCAGTTAAAAATTCATTATTTCGACCCCCTCTGTCCGTCCCAGATTTGTTTGACCCCCCCCTGTCCCAGATTTGTTTGACCCCCCTGTCCTAGATGTTTGAGCCCCCTGTCCGTTAGACTTGTTTGACCCAACCCCCCGTCCCAGATTTGTTTGACCACCCCCCTCCCCCCCTGTCCGTTCCAGAGTGTTAAAAATTCAAGAATGTTGCTTGACAAGGTTTGTTCAAGGGAAGGGCTGTATACGTTATACATGTAAAGTTGAATTTATGAGTTTATGATATTAATGTCTTTTCACTATGTGTTTTTCAGAGATATGGCTATGGAGGGTGGATCCAGCTCCACGATCACTGCAATGTAAGTATGATGTCATCATCAGGAATTACATTTTGTTTGTTTCTCATAACCAGTAAACCGCGTTTGTAGGCGTAACACACCAGTTTTGTACAATGTCATGTAAGTACAAGCTGCGTAAGACTGGACTGTTACTACCACTAACACCGAGGAAGACCCCTACTCCTTTCGATAAGTGTGGTGGGTTCTTTAACGTGCGTGGTCATGGGGTGTGGCTGAGCTCTCCCCAAACACGGGACCTCTGAGGGACGTCCCTGACTAAAGCTAGGTACTCATTTCCACCTGAGTGAAGTGCGGAAAGGCGTGTTAAGTGCCTTTCCCAGGGGCACAAGATTGGTGACATAAGTTGGATTTGAACCCAGTACCTCTTGGTTGGCATTAGGTTGCATATCTATACCACTTTTCTCTTGATAATCCTGAACCGGTTTTTTTTTCTCACCAAAGGGCAAGGCCAACATGGTACGAGACGGGAAGTTGTTCCGTGTTATTGATGCCAACTGCTGGGACCCAGAGGTCCGTATCAGGGAAATGGACGCAACAGGTGAGCACTTCTCCTCTTCTTCTTCTTCTTTCATTTTGAGGCAGCCGCCTTCAACTAGCTGAAGATTCTGCTGCCTTTTTGTGGCTAGTATGAGATGGGGTTCACCAGGCCTTCATGAGGTCCCTAACCAAGGCTAGGTACTCATTTACACCTGAGTGAAGTGAAAAAAAGTTGTGAAAAGTGCACATAAAAATCATGCGTTGCAGTGTTTTTCTTGAGGAAGGAATAACAAAGTTTCTGATTTGTTTTGCTGCAGGTGTGACTGTCCAGGCATTGTCTACTGTTCCTGTCATGTTCAGTTACTGGGTAAGTCAGCAGTAATGTTGTTAAATCTATGAACAAAGATAAGTTGTGTTATCATCGTTTTGTCAAAAAAATTCATTCATTGCCTTAATTTGTATTTTCTGTCATTGGAAAATAACATACCATACATGTATGTATAGAAATAGCCCTCATAAGCACGAAAACTGTTGCAGATTTTCCTGTTTGTTACTCACTGTGAATCATTCAAGCATCAAGTTGATGGATGGATCTTTATATAATCTCCAAGCAGACCATACGGTGGCAAGGCTATGTCCATTGGCCAGAGGAGTGTCCATTAGCCACCTTCGGTGGCCGTACAAACTCCTCTGGCTAATGTCTTATACTGTCTTGCCGCCAAAAGGGATCTGCTTGGAGATTATCTTTGTATTTTTCTAGGAGATAACAGATGAATTCAGCCAGAGTGTTTTAACAATTTTTGTCTTGAATTTCCAGGCAAAACCGGAGGACACCCTTGACCTGTGTAAGATCCTGAATGACGACATGGCGCGTACCGTCAACAAGTACCCTTCCCGGTTCATCGGGCTGGGTACCCTGCCCATGCAGGCTCCTGAGCTGGCCGTGCAGGAGTTGAAGCGATGTGTGAAGGAGCTGGGCTTTCCCGGGGTTCAGATAGGCTCACATGTGAACGAGTGGAACCTGGACGCACCAGAGCTGCAGCCCATCTTTGCTGTACGGAGCGTTTGTCTAATATTTTGTATCCTGATTCCTATAAACCTTTCCTGTTTAGACTGACTCAGTGAAGCTTGTCACATGGCTTCACATGAAGTGTGACGTCTACACTGGGTCAAAAATATCTGGTTGACAATGTCGGCCCCCTGTTGCGGTTGAGTGAGGGGCGATGGGCCCTGATGTAAATAGCTTAAAATGTCATCGTCTACCAGATACATTTGATGACCCAGTGTTGACGTCACACTTCAGACAAGCCTCACTGGGTCAGTCTACTGAGGAAGACCAGAGCGACTGGTCAAAAGCTCTAGGTGAAAGAACTTTGTGTTGGATCAAAAGTTTTAGCTCTAAACATGTAATTACATTATTTTGCAAATGTTAGCCGTAAGTTAAGATTTTTTCAATGTATATAATGAGAATTAAACTGTTCACTTACTCAAGAAAAATGACTCACCAGGAATTTTTTGCCGAATTACTCGGTCTTCATTCATTTTTTTCCCTTTATGTTTCAGGCGGCTGAAGAGTACAACTGTTCTATCTTTGTGCACCCCTGGGACATGGAACAGGGAGGTCGCATGTCCAAATACTGGCTGCCATGGCTGGTCGGTAAGTCACACTGAACATTTCTGTTTCAACTTGTTACACTTTACTGAAGCATGCTGAAGTAGTGCTGTGTACCAGTTCACAGAAACTAGATCTGGACTTGTAAAAATGTTTAGGTTCAAGTCCAAAAAAAACCCTGAACATCTGGAACCAGTTCTGGACTTTCGAATTCCCCTTTTTGTTCTAAACCACCAAAAATCTTCAATAGTCAGAAATTCGTATTGCAAAATGAAGAAAACATTGCCATTGGGCATCGTTAAGTGTCGGCCTCCGTAAATTATTGTGGTCACAGTTTTGCCCAAATGTGCCCCGCAAACAACATATCTTGCTTCTAAACCCTAGTAGTGCAGTGCCTGCTACAAAATTTTGTGGTTAAGATACTCCATTTTCCATTAGGAAATGTTCTCTGAGAAGTCCCATATACATAATACATGGATTACAGACATGACTGTATGGTAATATTACTGATGTTTTGACATGAACATTTCTATCCAGGCATGCCAGGGGAGACAGCTACAGCCATGTGCTCCATGATATTTGGTGGAGTTCTGGAGAGACATCCCAAACTCAAGGTCTGCTTTGCACATGGGGGTAAGTTCTACATGTTTCATAGTTAATACTGATAACATTGCCACGCGCTAGATACGATTCTAACAATATTTTCAACACTTTTGATGATGCTTGTGTCTTGTTAAGTCATCTTGAAGATAGCTTTAGATAGCTCATTAGTTGTATTATTTATGTTGTTGATAATATCACAATCCACTACAAATCTGGCATCAGTGGATTGTGATGTTATCCACTAATGCCAGATTTACACCTTGATCAACATGATGTCTACGTCGGTGAAGGTAATAAGACATGCCAAAAACAGTTACATAAGCAATTGGATATGATTTTGAGCTTTTAACTAATTTGCATCATCCCTGTCTTGACTTGTCTAACTTTTGTTTCCTTTTGGAGTTCCAAAAATTTATTTGCACGTCAATCAATAGTTTGTGCTTATAAAGCTGCCTTCTGCTTGTTTGTGCTTATAAAGCTCCCTACCGAAAAATTTCTAGTGGATGCTACCTGAAATGTCTGACTGTTTCCAAAATCATATCCAGTTGCTTGAGTAACTTTTTTTTGGCAATCAGACGTCTATTTTTAAGAATTTCTGTTGTTTTCCCCAGGGGGTGCGTTCCCCTTCACCATCGGTCGTATCGAGCACGGGTTTAACGTGCGGCCGGACCTCTGCGCGGTGGATAACCCCCACAACCCTCGGAACTACGTCGGACAGATCTACACAGACTCCCTCGTACACGACCAGAGGGCGCTCAAGTACCTGGTGGAGACCATGGGAGAGGTAGGGGAGGCAGAACGTGCTGTTTTATAGATACATGTACAACAGAGGGGAGCTTTGTTATGTTTTAAGCTGCAAATTACAGGGTTCTAGCGAGCACCAGCTTTTCTGTCAATTACCAGAAATTTGTGGAGACCATGGGAGAGGTAGGGGAGGCAGAACGTGCTGTTTTATAAATACAACAGAGGGGAGCTTTTAGTGTTGTGTACCTGAACCCACATTTAGGTTCAGGTCCAGATTCAAGTCCAGAGGTTTAGGTTTAGTCTGAAACTGGTCCAGCAAACCGGTACACAGCACTTGGAGCTTTGTTATATTTTGATTTGATTTGCTTTATTCAAATTGTAACAATACAATACACGTGGGACACAGACAGCTGTTGCTGGTGTTGTGTCCCACACATGGAAACAAATACAGAACACTGGACAACACTCATTTTCACTCAAGTTAAGAGAAAGTCGTGCCTTTCCCAAGGGCACAAGATTGTTGACATGGGTAGGATTCGAACCCGGGACCTCTTGGTCCTGATGAGCTGAATACGCTACTGTTTATGCCACATGTCCTAACACATTGTTTGTCATGTTTATTTCCAGGACCGTGTAGTGTTGGGGAGTGACTACCCCTTCCCTCTGGGAGAGCACCACCCTGGCAAACTTGTCGAGTCCATGCAGGACTTTGATTCAAATCTCAAGGTAATCAACACATAAAAGTTTGTATGACATGTGTGACATAACATGTCATTTTACTTGTTGTTCGTAAGTTCTGCTTAAGAATAAGATATACATTTTAGCTGTCTTGGTAACTCTAATTTAGGGTTTCTTGGTAGCCCTAATTTAGGGTCTCCTGGTAACCTTAATTTAGGGGACAATGTACTGAAAGTGGAAGAATATCAAACTTGAAAGTGCGACACTCTGGTGCTCCCTGATCTTGGAACAGCCAAAAGTAATTTTTGGACATCACAGGTAACAACACAGTGTGCACATCCCATTTTATTTAACTGCATTTCTCAATGTTGTATCTTGTTTCTTCAGCACAAGCTGTTGGTTGGGAATGCCTTGGAATTTCTTGGTGTGGATGCGAGCAGGTTTGAACAAGCAAAGACGTCTGAAGCCATGGAAACGTGAAATGTGTTCCCAGTGTAAAACTCTCTTGCCTTGCAGTTGCAATGCACATGTATAGTTATGCCAAAGTCTTCTGCAGATACTTCAGTGTTGACTAAATTATAAGATAAGTAGTGCTACGCCTTAGAAGTGAAACATCCTTAGATCAGCCTGGGTGCCATCCTATTTGTATGCCGGGGCTCCCATACTCGCTTTCTTCTAAGAAATATTTCTTAGGGAGTGAGTATGGGAGGCCCCGGCTTACAAACAGAATGGTACCCAGGCTAGCCTTAGATAGATCAAATGTAAATTTTTGGCTCAACTCTTTTGCTTAAGGCTTGGAAAGAAGCACTTCAGATAAACAAATAAAGAAGGAAAGAAATGGCGCCCTGACTTATAATGGAAGATGCACCTGTTTCCGAAAGTGTTGCAAAATGTTTTGTTTGATTGAAAATATTTGTTGCAACTAAATTTATGTAGTTATCACTTGACTGTTAATGATTAACTAATTAAAAGGACATGTACATGTACTAGTGATTCTGAAGCCATATGAGCCATGCACTTATTCTAGATATGCTAAGTAACTCCATAATATTTGCTGAAGAATCCTTGTAACACGGGTATCGTACTTAACAACACCAAAAGTGAAAAAAGAGAAAATACAATTAGGATGTCATGTACCATGACATGACATGTCATGTCAAGTTTGTTTTCTTGGCAAGTGCCAGTAATTTTTATTTCCGAGGGCCAGTATTGTATTGGTTGCTTGGGTGCCAATAGATGTATGTAATTGTCGATTAGCATTTCGTTTGATTCATTGTTTCAGAAATGTCTTTATTAGTCAAATCTGTTGTCTTTTATCTTACAGTGAACTGCTTGCTCTTAATGTTTACAACTGAGGCAAAACTACTATGATTGAGCTATGTACTGTCAGCATTCTTAGTTGCATTACTAACGTAGGTAAATAAGTTACTATCGTACAGCAAAAATAGTTTTAAAACCTTCATCTTTAATAGAGCTACTAACTAAAAATTACGCCTGTGCCAGTCTTTAGATGAGAAGATGGCTCTAGTCAAGATGAAATGATTTTCTAGATGCATTGAAGTGAAATGTAATTTGTGCTTTAGAAGATTAATACCTTCTGTTGCTAAGTACATGTATCAGGATGTGTGTTCAGTATTTAATGATACCTTGAAGCTAGTTTTGTGTGAGAGTAATCTTAATTTGATGGTCATTTGAAATACGTTATATCTAAAGATGTTTAGAATGCTATTTTTCAGGGGGAGCCAAGGTGAAGAAGATTTTATTTCATGTACATCACATTACCAAGTTTAGATGTGTTCAAATTTGGTTGTAATGCTGTGGTTTGACCACATTTTATGAAAAGTTCAGTTTGATTTTTGTTCTGTGTATTGAATGTAACATTAGATATAATACAACTTAGTTCTTATGCAGATTTGAGAGTGATGTTAAAAGATTTAAGAATGTAATTTAACTTTCAGAACTTTCAAGTTTATATTGCGACAGTCACTAAATCAGCCATTTCTTGAATTCACTGAAGAAGCATGGACCAGTAAAAGCAGCACTACCTACAGCTCTTTTAAATTTAATGTATGGCCTAAGTGTGCTAGGTTCTACCCTTTAAGCTTGTTTACAGAGATGAACAATAAAAGTAATATAATTGTGATCTCTCTATTATCTGCAAAAGGAATATGAATTACATTGTAATGAATGACAACCTTTATTGCACGTTTTTGCCACACTGGGCTAAGTACAGGTCAAAACAAAACATGATGAACAGATGTAGTCAACAGATACAAAATAAAACTATCATTAGTACTTAACACCTTAACTGTTCCTGCTTCTTAAATACTGCAGTGGTCATGCCCGTAGCCAGGGGGGGTTCGGAAGA